AAAGAAAGAAAGAAAGAAAGAAAGAAAGAAAGAAAGAAAGAAAGAAAGAAAGAAAGAAAGAAAGAAAGAAAGAAAGAAAGAAAGAAAGAAAGAAAGAAAGAAAGAAAGAGTGACACAGGTTATGTCTGTATCTGGCAATCTCTCCAAAGTGTGCATAACTCTCTGGAGAATAGTGATCTGAAGCTTTGATCCCTGCTAATATTCACCCCGAGACGATGAGGCAAGCAGCCTGCTCTGGATCCCTTCCCACTGACTGGCCCGGCAGGGCTCTGTTTCTCTCCCCCCACCCCACCCCCGTGCAAGGTGTCTGGTTTTCAGCGGCCTCCCGCCTTCCCTCCAACACTAGGACAGCCTCGTTTTAGAGAAAGAGACCCGCAGCAGCAGCAGCAGCAGCAGCAGCGCAGACAAAGCAAAGCCCGGGGGTTCCCCTCCGAGATGGTTTTTAATTTCAGAGGCTGGGCCAGGCTGGCCGTGCCATTGGTCAGAGGAGAGGATGCTGGGCTTCCCCCATTGGCCGGCTGGGATTCTGTTCCTGCACCTCGGCCCTTCCCACTGCCTTATATACACATATATCTATCCACAGAGAGAGAGAGAGAGATGCACACAAAAGGCTCTGCCTTTTCCATGTCCCACCAGAGGGAGGAGAGCAGAGCAGAGAGAGAGGGACCGGAGGAAGAACAGCTGGCCAGGCGTGGAGCCTTTCTCCCTCCTCTGGAAAGGAGAGCCGGCTGAAGGTGTGGGAGACCGGCTGGTCGGCTGTTGCCTCTGCTCTCCATCGGGCTTCGATCTCTTTTTTTCCCCCCTCTTTGCCTGACCTTTCTGGGGAGGTGTGAAAAAGCCATCCACAGCCCGACTGGACCTTTTTTTGGGGGGGACGGGCGCGTGTGGACCATCGCCATGGCCTTCACCATGCTGAGGCCCATGGCTGCCCACGTGCTCTACCCGGACCTCAGCCTGCTGTCGGAGGAAGACGAGGAGAACCGCAGCGAGAGCGAGGCCTCCGACCAGTCCTACGGCTGCTGCGAAGGCCGGCACAAGGTGGCCAGGAAGCCCGGCCAGGTGGTGGTGGTCAAGCAACGCCAGGCCGCCAACGCGCGGGAGAGGGACCGGACCCAGAGCGTCAACACGGCCTTCACCGCCCTCCGCACCCTCATCCCCACCGAACCGGTGGACAGGAAACTCTCCAAAATCGAGACCTTGCGCCTGGCCTCCAGCTACATCTCCCACCTGGCCAACGTCCTGCTCCTGGGCGACGGGTGCGAGGACGGCCAGCCCTGCTTCAGGGCCATCTACGGCGCCAAGGGCGAGGCGGAGGCCAAGCAGCCGAGGAGCATCTGCACATTCTGCCTAAGCAACCAGAGGAAGGGGGTGAGTCTCCTTGCCTTGACCCAATTATGCTCTCTTCTCCTCCAAACCAAAGAGTTAGGGGACCCAGAGAGGTCAAACGGATCTAGAAGCACAGCTTGGAAAAGTTACTCCTTTGAGTTACGATGGCCGGAATCCCCTCCATCTGCTGTTCCTGGAACTGTACCCTCCAGAAGTAACATTTCCAAGCTCTGCCGCTAGAAGCCTTGAAGCAAACAGGCCTGTAACCCTAGATGAGTGACAGCTGGGAGTAGTTCCTTGGTGGTGAGTGGAAGGTACTCTGCATATGCTCAGAGATGCTCTTCTATACAAATGCTTGCAATGTTGCAAAATTAGCCTTGAGATTACTCTCAGAGGTCAAAGAGAGCTGATCTTTCCCCAATAAAGAGGGTCAGTTCTGGGCACTCAGCAAACATTAGACCCTTTGGGGGTATCTGGAGTCCGAAGAAGAAGCCTCTTTAGGCCAGATGGGTGGGGTATAAATCAAATAAATAAATAAGTGAAATAAATAAAGCCTGGCGTAGATCCCCTGGAATGGAAAATAGGCTGGCAAAGCGAAATGTCTTTTTTGATGTATTCATTTCTCTGGTTTTTTATCCCATTGCTCAGCCAGGGCTTAGCTCAGACCTGCTAGCCAAGCTAAGAGAGGTGAAAGAGGAGGGTTCTTCTGAACATGTGTGAAGTGGACCCCACACCTCCTGATGCTTAACCAATGGTGCACTCGCTCGTTTGGGATGTAGGGTTCTGGCTAGAATGTGGGACCCCGAGAAAGCTTCATCCTTGAGACCTGTCCTTTGAGAAATTAGACCCCCCCATGGAGGTGTCAGAGTCCCCAAGGACTCTCAGGGCTTGAGAAGGGGTATGGATGTTCCCATCCACAGATGGAGGAAGTGATACTGGGGGGACAGTGGCCCATGGCTAAGGGAGAACTCCAGGTTATGTGTGATGGGTGAAGCCCAGCCTTGGGTGATGGGAGCAAAGCACCAAGTTGCCAAGTGGTGATTCCTGTAGGTTGGAGAAGGGAAGCGACCTCCAGGGCCTCCAAAAGAAAACTCGATCCATTACCGTGACATGGAAAGGTTTGAGTTCCATCACCCTTGGTGTCCTGGGCTGGATGTTTGCTTGCCGTATCCTCTGATGAGCTCGTGTTGGTACGCGGCTCCTTTCTCTTCTCTTTATCCCCACAATGCGCCTGCAAGAGAGACCAGCCCAGGCTCACCCAATGAGTTCCATGGCTTAGTGGGGACTTGAACCCAGATCTAACAAACCCTTCCCTCTAGTCCTTTCAGTTATGATCCACCGCACAGACTTGCTTGCTTGTTTCTTGATGGGTGAGGCTGACCCAAATAGGAGGAGAGAGGTCTACAATATTTGCAGCTACTAACCATGAAAGCAAAGTGGAACCTCCAGGTGCAGGAGCAGTCTGCCACTAAAGATCAGTTGCTACTGATGGGGTGGCGGAAGAGAGATTCTTCGTGCCACTTTTTGCGAGCTCGGTTGCTGTAGCAAACCAAATGCAGGAGCGGATTGCCGGTTTGTTTAGGACCAGAAAGGGGGGGCGGGTTCTCCCCCACAACTTGGAAATGCTACTTTTGGGGGACTATAACTCCCAGAATTCCATATCCAATCCTAGCCCCCCCCCCAAAAAAAGCTGACCTTTCCAAGTTCTGTTCTTTCCTCTGAGGTAGTAGATGCCATCCTCAAACCTTTCGCCTGAACCAGTTTTGCACAGATTCTGTTCCACATTCCACTCCCAGTTGCTGCTGATGGGGTGGCGAAAGAGAGCTTCTTCGTGCCACCTTTTATGAGCTCGGTCGCTGTAGCAAACCAAATGCAGGAGTGGATAGCCGGTTTGTTTGGGACCAGAAAGGGGGGGGGGGTTCTCTCCCAGAACTTGGAAATGCTACTTTTGGGGACTATAACTCCCAGAATTCCATATCCAATTGCAGCCCCCCCCCCAAAGCAACCTTTCCAAGTTCTGTTCTTTCCTCCGAGGTAGTAAATGCCACCCCCAAGTTTCGCCTGAACCAGATTTGCACAGATTCTGTTCCACATTCCACTCTGCACTGTCTTGCCGTTCATGTGCCCAACAGAGGATGGATTCGATGTGGCTGTTGAAACGAGGCTCGTTTCATAGTCCAGGAAAAGCGGGCATGTGCGGCTTCCTTTCCTCAGCCTCCTGTGAGCTCACATCTTCCCTCCGCTGCTCGAAGAAGCCAGAGACGCATGGACATGTTCTCTCAGAAGCCAGAAACCTCTGTGATTCACCAGCAGGCGTGTTCGGTATTTGCTCCTGCAACCTAGGCAGCATTCCAGCGAGGCAGAAATAAACACGGCCAGCGTGCTGTGGAAGAGCGGGGACTTAGTGAAGATGGTGTGGATTTAAATGCAAGGCCAGCACTTAGGGAAAGGGACCTGGGGTTTGTCAGCTCCTAAAATCCTCGCACGACCATGGAGGATGCAGGCAGGATGATTTCCAACCCCTAAACGGGGATGCCCGGGGTTAAACCCATGTGATGGTTTGGAGCCTCTGGAATTCTGTAGGAGTCTCTCAGCCAAATACTAACCCGACCTAGCCTTGCTCAATTACCAGAATCAGACCAGACCAGTAATTTTAGGATGATATTCTAGAATTCTTTGGAAAATCAGACATAGAAAAAATTCCCCAAGCCTTGGTTTGCAGAGGTTACTGGCACAGGCTGCACATCTGGACTGATCTACTCACAGGGAGAACAGGCAGGCAGAGGTATCTCAGCCCACGTTTGCCACCGACTTGTGCTCTCTGACTTGCAAGCCCTTGGCCCCCATAGGGTCTTGACTCTCTCCAGATATACTGGGGCAAAAACCCATCACTCCCTGTCCACATAGCTGTAGGATGATGGGGGTCCTAGCCCAGCATCTTTTGAATACCCCACAGTGGCCTCCGAGATCCAAAGAATGTCAGGCCCGATCGTGATCACCCAATAAGGGTGCTGAGACACGGAATTCATACACAGAGGTTCACTGCTTGTCCTCTGTCCTTTTTACAAGAGGAAGGTTCACATCACGATTTCCCCCTCCGCCCTGAGTAGTCCTAGGGTGGAAAGAGTCATGCCTTGATGTATCCGTAGAATTGCATCTCCCTTCAGAGAGCAGTAAAACTCTTAAGCAACAATGAACCACGTGGCACTCAGGCTGGGCAGCTGGGGTTTTGACTCCGAGGGCTGAAATTCAGGTGCAAAAATGTGATGCTACAGCCACCCCTTTTTTGCAGCAGCAAGGGGATGAACCTGCCATCTTTCCTTGGGCAAAAAAAGGGATGCTGAGCAGGAAAGGTCAACACAGGACAAACATGGCCATCACACACTCAGATTCAAGGGCTTCTCTCTGCTCTTCTATCATCTCCCCACATAGACTGATCTTGCGCGATCCAAGCTTAGCTGATGGGACAGGGAACTGCCAGCGGCCAGAACGGCTAGTTATGACTATCAGGTGAAGAAGAAGCCCCGTAGGAAGCACCCGGTCCTCACTCTTGCAGATTTCTCTATCAAAGCAGGTGCCGTGCTTGGAAGGGAAAGTTTGGAACCGTTTATCTGCATTATCGTAGGTGCAAAAGAATTGCAGGTTCTCCGGCTGCCCTGTTTGAATTTAGAAATAGAACGTGCAGAGGAGAACTTCAGAATTCAAGGTGATTTTAATTAGCAGTAACTTCAGGGAAGAGAAGAAAGTCTTTCTTCACACCATGCAGAATCTGGTTCTCATAACATGTGGTCATGGATACAGGCTGAGGTCACTTTTTTTGTAAGGGTTAGGTGAAGCAGAGGGAGAAGAGAAGAGAGAAAGTCTTTCTTCACACCATGCAGAATCTTGTTCTCATAACATGTGGTCATGGATACAGGCTGAGGTCACTTTTTTTGTAAGGGTTAGGTGAAGCAGAGGAGTAGGGAGAGATGTTAGGGTACCAGCCACTATCAAACATGCTGGCTAAACCAAAATTTCAAATTCCGTAGGTAGTTCTATAATTCTAATTCATCAGATTATAGAACCAAATAAAAGGAGGTGATGAGGGTAATTTGCAGCACAATCTGCCTTCTGAAGTTGCATGCTTGGAATGAGTAATGTTGCTGCATTGCCATGAACCCACATTACAAAATTCTAATTTAAATTGCAGGATTTTCTGGCTTCCATGGACAACTTAGCACAAAATCCTTTTGTGGTGTGCTAGTTGTGATGGGTAATATAGAGAGAGTCTTGAGAGTTGTTTTCTTGCTCTCCCCTGCATTCTTGTGTACCAGGACCTACGCAGAGTACACAAGCAGCTAAAATATGTATTTTTAACCACACAATTGATATAAAATGTATACATGTGTCTATTGATTTATCTGTCTCTCCTACGGTTCAAAGATTGTAAATTATTAACTCAAAACCTTGTATAGGTATTGTGCTGGGGAGACTGATCTATTGCATGGTTGTTTTGCTTTTATAATGGATGAATAACATTTTATTAAATTAAATTAGGGCTGTCCTCCAGATTCAGAAAAATCCCAAACTGAACTTGACTGATTTGGACTGATTATTGAGAGGTCCGGATTGAACCGTAAAGACAAACTTCAAGTTTTGACTTCGGTGGAAGCGAATTTGCTGGCTAGAAGGAAATTTACAAATCGTTTTGATTGTGCGGAATGCGTGGAAGTCAATGGTGTTTCAGTGTTTTCAGCCTACTAGCCTCTTGGGTCCTTTCAAGGAGCAAGGCAGGTGAAACATTTTAAATAAATGGAAATAAATAAATAACTCATTAAAAAAAACAAAAGCAGACGTAAAAGGCATCCTAGGCAGATTTCTGAAACTGGCTTTCTGCAGTTTTGGAAGGTTATTTTCTCTATGAGCATCCCCAGATTTCATGTACATCAGGACAGATTTTAAAAATGTGGGTTTCAAATTGTCCAGTGCACCAAATTTACGAATTCCTCTGGATCGAGGGCAGAAATAACTCCAAACCTATCTGGGATATATTTGGAAGCCTG